ACGGTCGCTGTATTGCCGTCGGAGGAGCGAAGCGCGGTGTAGTCTGGAAGCGTTGGCTGCCAGCGAAGACTGGAGGGTCGCTGCCACGGGTTTGCTGTTACGATTCCTGCGATCGCTTGGATCAGAGGAATGGACGAGGCGTAGCTGTCTTCTGAGAGATCGGAGTCAGCAATAGGGTCATGGTACAAGTGGAGTCAGCGCATACAGCAGGTGGTGGTTGCATCATGGAAGTCAGGCAAAAGGGGCGCGTCATCGTCGTAGGCAGTATGAGGCGGGTAGAGTTGGGTTCATCGGGTAGGCTGCTCTAAGGACCGTTACCCATCGCGATGGGCCCGGATGGGCTGGCATCGCCGTTATCCATCGCGGCCAGGCTGGCATCGCCGTTACCCATCGCGATGGGCCCGGATGGGCTGGCATCGCCGTTATCCATCGCGGCCAGGCTGGCATCGCCGTTACCCATCGCGATGGGCCCGGCCGGGCTGGCATCGCCGTTATCCATCACAATAGGCTGGCATCACTGTTATCCATCACGATGGGCTGGCATCACTGTTGCCCATCGCGGCCGGGCTGGCATCACTGTTACCCATCAATGGGCCCGGCCGGGCTGGCATCGCCGTTATCCATCGCGATGGGCCCGGATGGGCTGGCATCGCCGTTTATCCATCACAATAGGCTGGCATCGCCGTTACCCATCGCGATGGGCCCGGCCGGGCTGGCATCGCCGTTATCCATCACAATAGGCTGGCATCACTGTTATCCATCACGATGGGCTGGCATCACTGTTGCCCATCGCGGCCGGGCTGGCATCACTGTTACCCATCAATGGGCCCGGCCGGGCTGGCATCGCCGTTATCCATCGCGATGGGCCCGGATGGGCTGGCATCGCCGTTATCCATCACAATAGGCTGGCATCACTGTTATCCATCACGATGGGCTGGCATCACTGTTGCCCATCGCGATGGGCCCGGCCGGGCTGGCATGAAGCCAAAATTCACTTTGTGTGTTTTCAGCGCACGGACTGAAAAGTAGGTTTTGGACGCTGCCAACGCAACGGACTGTACATGCATAACCCCCGTAAGCGGACAACCCCCGACGACACTTGATCCAGAGGAAGCGAATGTCGCTTGTTAGGATGGCATAATCCCTTGACTCTGTCTTGTTTTCGCAATGTAATTTGTGATTTGAAGGTGACCTGGGGAATCGGGGAATCGAAGGTTGCAAATAAAGTACCTTTCTTCCTCGGGTCTCATACTACTTTAACCAAGACCGACCTACATACACCATTATATCATAATTACTGATGAGAATTCTCTACTCAAGTTACCCTAGAAATGTTGTCTGCGATCTCATTACTTACAAAATTGTGGTTCGTGAACGGCAAGTGATTGTTCGGAAGTGAACGTATCGGCACAACCTTGTTGGATGTATGGAGATGATGAATTTCAACCTTCAGTATCATGGAATCTATCAAAGGCCCTCGGAATTCTCGCAATCTCAAACTGAATCCGCGCTACCGCGCTTAAAGTTGCTCCAGGCGTGGTACCTGGCACATAAATATATATTTATCCAACCATGAACGAGGCCAACGTTGGGGACACACTGCGCTCTGCGGCTCATCCAACAGTCAGAGGTCGCAAACTATTGACAATATGAATTTGCTTGCTCTCTCAGCCTACGAAAGTCAGTTGCAAGGAGGCAATATCTGGATGGTGCCCAAGGTCAGTTCTATCTGTCTTCCCAATATCTCATTTACGTGCTCGATAATATCATCCAGACAACGCGTGTTGCTTGTTCCAGCCTCGGCTTATTTTGTCAATACCTAAAACGAAAATTAGCGGCCAACTATGCTGCAGGTTGGTAGCGGGGTGTCCGATTCAACGTTAAAAGGTACGGTTCCCCTTAAGTCGAGCTGCTCCAATGCCCAACTCTGTTGGCGCTGTTTCCATATTCTCATCTTAGTGTGTATTTTCAGAGATTTCATTCAACCTGTTTCGGCCATCCGAGTTCTCTTTACAAAATAAGCCTCGTTCCGTCCTTGTCCGCGTCCCATGGCTCAACATGAGACATAAGTCCACCATTCAAAAATTTGCTCGCCATGAAACCCGGCTGGTTACTTTTTTTGCTCACGGCCGAGTCTTATTTGCCCTTTTGGTTGCAATCCAATCACATTACCTTCATGTGAGAGATTATCATCACTGGTCTGGTTCCATGACGAACCTGCGTTTCCTCTACAACTCCGTCGTTATATGATACATGTTTGTTAGTATCTGAACCTCTAAGAGACCATTACCAGCCAGGCGTATGAGGGAATACAGCTTGGTCCCTTCACGGCCCAGGCATTGGCAGCCATGGCGCACATCCACGCTTTCTCCGGGTGTTGTATTATGATAGGAACGTGCCACAAAGCGGCCCATTGGCCGGGAGAGAGCGTACATGGGATGTAACCCGACCACCAGGCAACACTGTCCTATTTCCCATATACCGAAGCAGTAGGACAAACGGACCGCCGCAAAAGGATCGGACGCCATCAACGTTCCCCAGACCGTCCCGTATCCTACACCGATCGCGTGACACAGCCCGCCCCCCCAGGCGCAAGCCACATGGCAGAAAACATTCTGAACCCCGACCGACCACGGCGTGGGCTTTGGTTGCGGGTAAGGTTTACGCGGCCCGGTGGCGGCCGCTTGCAGGACCTCAGATACCGTGGGACGGCGTGATGTACCGGGGAGTATTAACCCATCACGCCCCCCTCCCCCCACCCCCTCTCTCGTGTAACGTACAACGGACTGCTGCTGTGCGACTGGACGGTCAGCACACGCCGGCCGGAGACACAACTGGGCCTAGAGCTCCCGCATCAGGGACACATTGTGAATTTATTTTGCATCTGGTCTTTAGGCTGTTCTATAACGTTTCCTCGTGGTAACCCAACACCCTTTTCTCCCATGAACAGACGTTGGAGGGATCATACTGTTACGATGAACGGGGACCAAAACGCTCAAGGCCTCTTCTTCTCGTCCCACTTCCTCACAATATCCCCAATCAGATCCCTCCCCGCCTCCGCCCCCTCCACTCTTAACCTCTCCGCCTCGAACCGCCCCTGCCTCACCCTGGCCTCGGCCACGACGTCCCGTCGCGGCCTCTCGCCCATCGCCCGCGCGCATGCGAGCTCCAGGAGCCGCAGAGTGATGCCCGCGAACCCCGCGGCGACGTTCAGCAGGGCCAGCAGCGTCCTGAAGACCGCCAGGGGCACCTCCAGCGCCGCCCTCGGTGTGCCCCGTCCCGCCCGCGCGAGGACCGGCGGCCGCGAGACGGCCGACGCGAGCTCGAGCAGGGGCGCGGCGGCGAGGAAGCCGAGCATCTGCGCGTATGTGTAGGTCCGCAGATTGCTCGCGTAGAGTTTCGGCTCGCACGGTGATGCGAGCTTGTACAAGGTGAAGTCGAGGAGGTTGAAGAGGCCGAACGCCACGAGGGCGAGGATCGTCAGGGGAGCTTTCGAGGGGGGGACCCGGCCGTTAGCATAGCGTTAATAATGGACGGCCCGCGCAACTCACCTCTCAGTATGTGAAGTCCCAGCTTTCCCCAGTGCCCTCCCTTCGCATCCTCCACAACACTCCCAAACGCTTGCCCAATCCCCAGAACCAGCCCCGTGACCGGGTCCCCAGGACTGACCAGGTCGGGCCACTTGACGAGGTTCAATGTCCTCAGAGCTTCCCCTCTCACCCTCCCGTTTTCGACGAGAACATGCGCCGCGACAGCGGACAGCTGCTGCCCGCCTGGCGTTCTCCAGACCGCGGGCCGTCCATCGTAGACGGCGCATCTTCCCTCCCTCTCGTACACCCCCAACGTCTCCACGATCTGCTCGACGCAGACCTCCTCACCGGGCCTCTCCCCCTCCAGCCCCTCCGCGAACCGCTCCGCCGCGGCGGCGTACTCGGGCTTCAGCAGCTCCCTCAGCCGCTCCTCAAACTTCTCCCCCGTCATCTCCGCGATCCCGAACCCGGACTCGGGCCCGCACCCGGCGGCGCGGACCCGCGCCGCCCAGAACGGCTGGTCTCCGGCAACGGGTACCACGAGCGTCGGCCGCCCGCTCCGCAGCGCCATCGCCGTGGTGCCGCTGCCGCCGTGACACACGATGGCCCGGACCCGCGGGAACAGCCACGCGTGCGGCGCCTCGTCGACGATGCAGACGTGCTCTAGCCCCCGCCCCGCCTCGTCCACGTCCAGGTTCGCCCACCCCTTGCATACGACGGCCCGGACGCCCGTTCGCGCCACCGCCTCGAAGACCTCCACAAACACCCCCGGTGCGTTCGCGAACGACATGCTCCCGAAGCCGATGTACACCGGCGGTGTCTCCTCGGCCGCCAGGAACCGTGCCAGCGCCTCGGGTGGCGCGTACCCGGGCGCGCGGTCGAATACGAATCCCGATATGTGCACGTTGTCAGGCCAGTCCGTCGGCTTCGGCAGCAGGCGCGGCGACCAGAGGTACGTGCAGGGGACGCCCATCCGGTTGTACTGGCTCAGCCACCAGGCGGGGGACATGGCCTCGAGGCCCATGACGTTGACCCGGACGTCGTTGACGACGGACTTCATCGCCTGGAGGAATCTGTCCCCTGCGGTCAGCTTCTGTGTCGTTTCGTTTGCCCCCCTCCACCCCCTTTCCTGCTCTGTGTACCGCGAGAATTGCGGATGAGAGAGAAAGACGAAAATGGGCTCACATCACATCCGTAAACCACCACGAAATGACGTTCTTCGCACGGCTCGGCTTCTTCAGCGCCCAGCCCGCCTGCGAATGAGGGATCTCCTTGGAGTAGATCCTCGGGTTCATACCGAAGAGGTGCAGCGGCACCCCCAGCCTCGCCGCCACCGACGTTTGGTTGTAGACGTGCATCGTTGACATGACCAAGTCCGCTATGAACGCATCCCCCTCGCCTTCTTTGCCATCGGGGTCCGGGTCGCCGACGCAGGCCCCCCACCACCTCTCGCCCATCTCCCGGAAGTCGGCCCTGATCGTCGGCACGAGCTTATTCAGCTCCTCGCGCGGCAGCAGCCGCCTCTCCATCATGGTCTTGATATCTGTCTTGCCGATCGAGTAGAACCCGACGCCCGCGGCCTCGACGGCGGCCCGGTACGGCGGGTGGCTCGCGATGCGCACGCAGTGGCCGTGGCGCCGCTGGAGCAGCGTGGCGATCGCTAGCGAAGGCTGGAGGTCGCCGCGCGAACCCATGAAGAGGATGACGATGTTGAGACGCATCTGGGCCGCCGTCTCGGCGAAAGCAACGGAGTCGTCGTCATCGTTGGGGCCACCAACCCCCTGGCTCTGCTTCCCGTTGGACATGGTGGATGCGAAAGGGAGGGATATGTCTGCACACTACGGTCGTGGTATCGGACGAGGTCATTGACGAAAAGACACGTCGGGCGGGTGCACCTGCAAGTTTATGCCAATCTCGCAGCGCATCCTCACTGTTGCTATACTTTCAATGTATGGTTGATTAATCTATGGGATCAGCCTCCCGTACACCAAAGTCTTACGTGAGACGCCATTCCTGCTGGTCTCCAATGAATAAGCAGGCCAAGGACTAGAACGGGGTTAGGCTGAATGAGGGAACCCTGCGACGTATCATATTCGAATTCATTGAGTCCAAGGTGGTTCGGTTCCGAAAGTAGCGAAGACGAAGGGGGAAGAAACCGAAGAAAAAAAGAAAGAAAGATGCTCCAGAACCCTGTCAACACGACGCGCACATTCTCGCCAATTCATCGCAGGATTCGCCATCGCCTCGCCGCTCCATCGTGGTAGCAGATCTCGGCGTCGGAAAAAGCGGACCATGAGTCCCGGGGCCGCAGAGACCCGCCGACCTGGCCGTCGGGCAGCTCTCGGCATCCCATGGCCGCGAAAAGAAAAGCAAAAAAAGCAAAAAAGAAAAAGAAAAGAAAGTGGTCATGTCATCTCTTACTCGGATTTGCCACTCCTTCACCCCACGGGCTGAGCTGCCACTGTCGTCGCGCAAGGAATAAACACTTTTTTTCCTTTCTTTTTTTCTTTTTGGTTTTCGCCTCTTGAACAAAAAGGTTCCAAGTTCAGACCAACGCCAGAGACGCCATGACCTTGATCGGCCAGACCTCCGATGCGAGGGACAAGGTCGAACACACAGGTTTTAGGGTGTGCGATCAGACTCATCCTTCTTCTTCTCCTATTCTGCATCTCTGTTGAGCCCGACGCTCTCAATTATTCGGTTTCGTCATCAGACGATGCCGCATACAAGAGATTAACTCGTTATGGGAAAGTAACAAAAGACCGACGGAGACCGGACTGCAGTTGTCCATGGCGTCTGAAGCCCTCGGCCGGTTGCCGCAAAGGGCAATGCCAATAAAGAAAGTCTGCTGGTCTGGTGGTGAATGGGAACCCCCCAAGGACCGTTGTTAGCCATGGACGGCAACGCTACGACATCCTAAAAGCCTGACTCAACTAGGAAAAGTCAACGTTATTGTCTCAAGCGGTTGGAATCTGTCTAGAAGGTTCAGCGAGGAAGCCGCAACTTCCAGAATGCGACATGGAATGCAACAAACGGCGTTGCCGAGGCAGACATTGCCCACGGGCCCTCAAGGGAAGCCCGAAATCCCCTATATTCGGCAGCTTCGATTGTCTCAAGGCGTGGAAGGAAATTAGAGGATCTTGTGGATGATGAGAGATAGCGACCCAGCCTGGCCGACAGCGGTCCGGTAGATCAGGTTTGCAGGCCCGCGTACTAGTATACGGTTCATCACCATCGATGGTCGTCTGACTCGCGAATATGTGGATACGTTGGCGGTTGGGGGCCGCATGCCACCCCGACTGACGTGGAAGAAGGCGGCAAAACTTGAGTTGATCATTGTGTCATGCATGAAGGGGATGGGGGAAGAAACCGAACACGCACCATGCCGTGGCCGTCAGCCTTAATGATCTGTGAGGCCACCAAACACTATTGTATTATGGCTTGGTGATACCTCGGAGAAGCGTCTCATGGCCGCTGGTGAAGAATCGGGCGCTTGCATTGAAGATGGCCAACTACGTAAACAAATTTTTTTGTACAAGGCCATGCGCAACCAGACCAAGGTGGGTTAACCTTAATGCTAGCGGCCTCCCACTGCAGGCACCTGACACGCCTCTGCCGACCGCTCGCACGTACTGGCGTGTGTTGGGTCAACGCAATGCCTGCTGATTCGCAGCGGTGGCGGGCTTGCTGTCGCTGAGCGTGCATGGCCCTACGCAGAATTTCGGACGGCGTCGGTCCACGTCGTTTGCAGCGTCGTAGTGGTAAGGAACAGGCCGGTGAAGAATGCTCCCCGTTCCCTCATCGTTCGAACTCATGGGGGCCACCAGAAAGATCCCCCGAGGCATGGATGGCTAGGAGGTGGAGCAGAACAAGGGGGTGTGAAGCCCGTGCTGGCAAATGACAGCGACAAGTGACAGAAGGGCTTAGGCGAGTGGCACTGGAGCTGCCCCAAGTCTTTCTTCGTATCATGAGGGTGTTAGTGCAAAGGGTGAAAGTTGAGATGAAACCATTGTAAATCACTCGAGACCGAGGTCCGAGGGTGCAGGCTCGTCAAGGTGTCGCCCAAGATGATCGGCGCAGGGATATCGGCCTATGGCAGTCCTTGTCAGAGGATGTCCTAGGCTTGGTGGGCTGGCCCGCTGGCCGCCCAGAGAGGGCCTGGAGACAACTGTGTCTCGTTTCGCCCGTGGTCATGACGCACGCGCGACATCGGGTCCGAGGCGATAAGTGGAGGGGTAGAAGGCTGGGGGGAGTGGGTAGGTGAGTGATGAAGAGAAAACAACGACTAAGAAGAAAGCCGAGGAATGTTAGGGGTTGACCAGCAGCATCCACTAAACAAGTCCGTCCGTCGGACGAAGACGCGCGTGTCGTCTGGACGGCGTTGATAGGTAGCGTCGTAGGGCAGCCCAGTGGGAAGTGGTCCAGAAATGGTGGCCGTGGGAAAGGGGAGGAGGATCCAAGAGGAGAAAAGCCGGTATGTCGGGGCTGACGGTTTCTGGGTGCGCCCTGGAGCTAGCTAGGCCTTAGCGACCCAAGCTTCCGCGAGCCGTGTTTGCGTCACATCCCTCTCCGTCAACTCATCTTTGTCGCGGAAGCCAAGCTCGAGGCACCTTAGCTGCTACCCACACTACCTTATTTGAGGCAGCGTGAAAGGCGCCATGTGGTGTCTATCGTCCTTAGTAGATGGGTTGGCAACGTATATGATGGATGGCTGTGCTCATCGACTCTTGTCAGCGAGGCACACAATTCTATTAGAAGAGAAAGAAGGAAATAAAGACAGAAACAAAGAAGAAAAAGGTCAGAAAAAAGCGGCGCGAGGGCCAATCTACCTAGTCGTTGGCTGGTTGGAGCGATCTCTCGCAAGTCAGCGAACAGCTGGCTAGCGTGCATCTGCAAATTGCCGAAGCCGGTACTGGGCGATGCGATGACACTTTGCTGCAGCAGCGGGCAATAAGCTGCGAGAGGCGGCGAAAGGACGTTTTCTCGTGTCAAACACAACACGAAGCTTGAGCGTCAGGCCAGGTGGGTAGGTAGTCAGTCAGCCAGTCAGTGGCGTCTGGTATGTTCCCGATGGTCTCGCATCGCCGCATCGCCACATGCATCGAGGGACAACCAGTTATGACTTGGATACCCCGTCTTCGTCTTCGTCTTGAATAGGTAGTGTACTCGTGTATCCGTACATGTACTTCAGTCGTCGGATTTGGTCCTGTCTCTTGACGGTCCACCTCTGAGAATCCAGACTCCAGAATCCAGATGCGGTGGGCGGGGTAGGGTTTGCCTCCGTCTCGCGGACCTCGCAGATTGGGTTTTCTCTCTCCCCCTTTCGTCCAGTGTCCGGCGGCCGGATGCTAAGGTTATCCGCTGCAAGTGGCACGAGTTTTGAGCAAGACGAGAGACAGACAGCGCAGGGGGCCGGATGGATGACTGCGCCGGGAGCTGGGGGGACCGTTGGAGATGTTCCTGAGTCTCTTGGCCCAACGTTCCATTCCCGTCTCCAATGACAAGAGGAGTGGACATCAGCTGAAACATCTGCAATGCAGCTTCCTGAAGTGAGGTGGGTGGGGCAAGCAAGTCTCGGACCCCTCCCCCTCCATCCTTCCACAGCCAAACCCAAAACCCACACCTTTTTGACCTCGTTTGCGTTCACACGGCAGGTGCGTCCACCGTCCACCGTCCATCTCCGTCCGTCCTTGCGCTGGAGGTAAGAGAGGGTAGGGTACTTACCTACCTAGGTAAGAGAGAAGGAGGGAGGAAAGAAAAGAAAAGAAAAGAAAAAGAAAGGCACGTACTGCCTGCCCATCTACATCGCACATACACCATAAACAAGACAGGACAGAGCGAACGGCTCTGGGATGCCGTACCTTAGTTCTCAGGTATCCATCCGCCTTTGGGACGCTCCAGGCTGGCTCCTCTTTTCCATCCTCGCCATTCTCGCCATTCGGTGACCCTGGCTACCTGCATGGTTTACTACACGTACCTAGTGTACGTACTTGGCACACATAGGAACCTAGGTAGATATGTAGGTAGGCTGATGGAACATAGCCGGCGGGCAAGGCCAGTTATGAGTGCGTATAAAACGCGCCTAGCGTGCCCGATGATGTGCCGTGTTGCGAGGGAGGGGATGCGATTCTGGAGAGAGCGAATAATTCGACCCATATCTGGATGGGATGGTCGAAGATGGGACAGAGGCCATACTAGCTTGTTTTATAGCGAGGGAGGTGCCCTGTAGACAATAGGATGATCTTTGGCCATTGCAATCGAGCGAGCCACTCGTGCCTTTCCTTGTCTTGAGCAAGGCGAGGTAGCAACTGTCGCCGGCTTGCTTCATGTTACCTTCGTTGAGGAGGCTGGATCACAGTACCGTACCATCGTGCGGATAGTAGATCCTACCTAAACCTCCTCCAACATGCCAAAGGTTAAAGCGGTACTTGTATATATACATTGTATATTTTTCTCGCTGGTTGGCAAGTCCGGCAAGTACTCTGCCAACATTCAACATGTTCACCCTCACCTTACCTTGGATATGTAGGTAGGTAGGTAGTAGGCAGGCACAATACCCTTGTACGATGCCTTTATGTCCAATGTACCTACCGGGCTTACATTGGTAGGTATGTACCTAGGTAGTGATTGCATGTGCCACAACTGTAACCCGTCGACAAGAATAGGACATCCCCCAACCCAGCCCCGGTCCCTTTCCCTTCGCTACCACAAAAAAGCCCTACATACGGATACAGTTCGTCGGTAGGTACATGGTAGTTAGTGCATTCGTATCCGGCAGGCTTAGCAGAGATGCGAGAAGCCACCT